ACCGAGCAGGACACGCCGTTGAAGGACCTCTTCTTCCGTGCCACCTTCGCCTCGGCCAGTGAGGAGGACATGGATAAGGCTATCCAGCGTCTGGGCGCCGCCATCCGGGAGAGTTTCCGTCTTTGAAGCGTTTTATTTCCTCATTGCACTTTGCGATTTGGTTTAGGTTTGGATTTTCAAAGCATACGGCTGAGTAGATGAGCATTTAGGTTTTGCATAGGCACGGACGGGTTATGAACACTGTATCCAAGGGTGTGACGGTCGGCAGTAAAGTCGAGGGCGGGTAGCATGAGACACGTAGATGGTAGCATACTAAGAGAGAATGTTAACGAGAGGACCATTCCCTCGTCAAGCATATATACAACGACCGATTCTTCCGCTATTCCTCTGCGAAGTGCGCGCCGCTCCAAGGAAAATTCCCGCCGTACTAATGCCAAGGCATCCTAATCACAGTACGCTTCCCAACACCTGTTCGAGTAAGGCTGCCTGATATGCAGTCAGCCCATGGAAAGTAGGCCAATCATTATGCCTCCCATATCTCCCCGCGATACCAATCAGGCTACCCAAACGACACCATCCTGTTCGTTTGGTTGCCAAGCACGCTGACCTCTTGGCGGGAGAGCTCTGCTTCACGGCCATGACAGGGCTACGCTTATTTCAACCTCTCACCCATCCTATCCTGGTTCTGCCCTTCTTATTACGCCCGGTAAAGTGGTAGATCGTGAGACCCGTCCTTATCATGAGCTCTCCCGTGCTTCCGATTCATCTACCCATACCTACTCGTCCTTGCCCTTGTAGAAAGCGACCTTGACTCCGTCGCCAGGCTGAAGCACAATCTCCGCCTTCAGTAGGGGCTTCCCGCCATCGATCTCGTCCATGAAGCTCTCCACACGCTCGAATCTCTGGAACAGCCTGCACAGGGTGTACCCCATCTCCGTCAACGCAAACTGCTGCCCGATGCAGATTCTCGGCCCGCCGTTGAAGGGAACGTATGTCCACGGCTTCGGCTGCCAGTGATACCACCGCTCAGGCGAGAACTCGTTCGGGTGCGCAAACTTCTCGGAGACAGGCGGGTACAGGTCCTCGCGTCGCTGCATCAGCAACGTCGAGTATCCGATCGGGGTGTCCTTGCACACGGCCAGCGGCAAGGTACCGTCCGGTCCGCCGCCGACGGGCAGCGTCGTGTCTTTGAGCGCTAGGCGCACGTTGAAGGGGACCACGGGATACAGACGCAGCGTCTCGTTCATGACGTTCTGCAGGTACTTCATGCTCTTCAGGTCGGCGTACGTCGGCTCGCGGTTGAGTCCGACCTGCTCGATGATCTCGGCCCGTAGCTTGCGCACCACCTCCGGATGACGGCCCAGCTCGTAGATTGTCCACGACAACGTTGAGGCAGTGGTGTCGCGCCCGGCGAGCAAGACGGCGACGAGCTGGTCGCGAAGGACGGTGCGGTCGCGGGTGAAGCTGGCGAGTTCGTGGAGGAAGGTGTAGCCCTGGTCGGATTTCGACTTGGAAGCGAGCTCCTCGGGGGAGAGGCGCAGCGCGCGCTCGATGAACTTATTGACGAAGCCGTTGATCACCTTGAGACCCGCGCGGAAGGTGAAGAGGGGGACGAAAGGCTTGAGTTTGGCGGCGCGAGCGAGGATGTTCTGGACTCGCTGGACTTCGTTGAAGGCCTCGGCGAATTCTTGCTTGATGGTCCTGGACTGGTGTTAGTCTTCGGGCAGTCAATAAGCTAATAATGCAGGAACCTACGTGAGAGACTTGACATCCTCGCCCAACAGGAAGTCCGTTGCTACGTCGAGGGTGTAGCGGAAGAACAGTTCCGAGATGTCCATCACCTTTCCATCGGCATCCATGTTGACCACCTGGTCCTCGCCGTCGAGAGCCCCGCCGTTGGCGATGGTCTTGAACAGCGTCTGGATGTGCGCTTCGAAGCATTGCAAGTCGCTAACGCGGTCCTTTACGAACTGCGGGCGGATGAGCTGTCTGCTGGCGTGCCACTGGTCGCCGTCGGTGGTGAAGATGCTGTCGCCCAAGAACTCGTGCCACTCCCGGTGGAACGGCTCGCCCTTGCCGTAGTCGGAGAACTGCGTCGCGAGAATGGCCTTGATGTTCTCCGGCTCGGCGGTGAAGACGATGCGCAAGCCCAGGATTCTCTTCTCACCAGTCCATCCCTTGACCTTGGAGAGCATGTCCAGCCAAAAGTCGACGTTTTTGTGCGACATGGCGCCGCGAACGGCCTTGAAAACGAAGTCGATGCCTGGGAAGTGTCAGTGTCATCGACCTTTTTGTGGCAGGCTGAATGCCATCCTCAACCTTGTATCTCGTTGCTGAACATCCCGAACGGGCGTAATAGAAAAGAGTACCTACCACCGGGGAGATGGGCATTGAGCGACTGTCCGCGTGTGCCGGGCGCCAGACGGCGGAGGCGTATGGACTCATCGAAGCGTTTGACGGCGACCCATAACCACCATGCTACAACGGCAAAGACGATGACGGATTTGACGGTGATGTACTCGAGCACTATCTCGACCAAGCCCATGATGACAGGCGGAAAGTACCAATTCTCTGGGATGTATGGTTTCGCGGCGAACTAGGCTAATATCGAGAAACAGAGTCTCATCTATAGACGAGGTAGGACCGTGTGGTGTCTCGGAAGGAATCAAGCAGCGGCGTCTGTAAGCTGACTGTGAAGAATGGTACGGGAGAAGATGTGCTGCAGTCTGCTCAGCGCTGTGAAAGGCAACAAAAGGATTTAGGCCGCCCGAGTGAATTGAGAATAAGAAAGTTGGGTATATGATATCACGAGGAACGGGAACGGAATCGGGATGAAATTCCAGACCGCATAGGAAGGGGGGGTAGAGACAAAAGGGAAAACGTCTGATATATGGGCGCAAGCTAGGAGGATCAACGGTAGATGCTAAGTGTGTATCGAATAAGCTAAAAAGCTGCAATGCAAGCAGCCCAGCAGGTCCAGAGACTTACCTTATTCGATCCGCGCTTGAGGCCTGGTCCCTGTTCCGCACTTGGAGTTCGGTTGCGTTATCCTCGGAACGCGGGTAGAGACGCTACCAAAGCAGGGCAGGGCAGGGCACTTCTGCAAGGTAAATGAAGGGCAGATTATTGGTCTTTTGTGTTATTGTAGACTTGAAGAATGGGCCCAGAAGAGGACCCAGAAGCAGCTATCCATCGCTCGGCGGGCAGCTAGAGCTACCTTGGAGCAATTGGAAATCGAATCATGGGGTGCCCACCCACCGTCGTTGTCCGTCCGCCGAAACACTTGCCCTTCTGCGTGTTAGCGGCCGTGTGAAGCCACATGGCAGGGTAGGTACCTGGGCCACCACTGCGTCTCTGCTTCTTTTCTCCCTCGCGTCTCGTCTTGCCCATGTTTTCTGCTCCCCTTTGCGCCGACGCTGTGCGCTGAATGTATCACGGGGTGGGTAGAGTTGGTGGTGCGTCCGCTCTGCACGTACATTGCATGGCCTTGCCCTGTCTTGTGCTGATCTGCACGGCATACTTACATGCGAGGCGGTGTACTTTTCCCTGACGCTACCGTAGACCACGCGCGAGACAGCAGTGGTCGCTTAGTTACACAAGGGCTCTGTTTCGTCAGTGAAGATATCACACTGGGCAGTGTGTTCCCGACGTCCGTATCCCTGGGAATGGTCTCAGAGAGGCGGTACTGAGGACGACATCGCGGAGAGGGAAAGGACCCCGGGTAGACGTCAACGCCGTCGGGGACGGAGTTGGAGAGTAATTGGAGGACTGGAGAGCCGCGGGGAGCCGTTCTCCTAGGGCTTGACCTTGTTCGCAACAGGAATCCATCCAATGTGATAACGCATGTCTTGTCGTGTTTGCTCGTGTGGGCGCCAGAATCAAGCGACGCCGGGCCAGCAAACGGGCAAAACGGCCAATGAAGCAGCAGCGAGAAACGCGAGGGGGTTGCAAAGTCTGCAAGGTACATGCCTTTGCCGAGGTGCAACGAGTTGTGTCGACGGGCATGTGGTGGGCTTTACGAACGAACCTTCCAAGCAATTGCAGATGGGATGCTCTTTTGCAACAGAACGAGACAAGTAATTGGACGGAAGGCGAGCTGGAAACCAAAGATCCATTTCGAAGCTTCGGTTCTGGGGGGGCAGAGAGGGACAGTGCGCGTGCTGTTATTCACTACGTCTGGTCAATTCGTTAAAGGCATCTTCCCGCCGACACTGGAGGCTTGGACTGGAGAGGGACAGCGCCCAAGGCATCGCAATGACAAGACTCAGCACTCTCACTAGCGGTATCCACACAGTACGAATAATCTGCCACCTCCACGATCTGAATACCCAGAAAGGGAATTTTGCTGCCGCCCACCCTGGTTCCCCCGCAATTGAAGCTCTCCCTCCCCCGCTAGCTGCTCCGCCACTCCCGGCCGGGTTGACGCCTCCAACCCATCCGCACCTATGCGTGCGCCGCACTGCAGCATATCACTGCCGGACCATGTCGAAACAACTCGTCGTCTAAAACTGTTCGGGGTTGGAGTCAAGAGATTCAGTCCGCCATCTTCATAGCTTGAAGCTTCCTCATCACCGTGCATCGTTCTTCCTGTGGACCCTTTCTTCGGGGCATATACCTTGCTGTCGATCCGCTCGCACGAGACCCTTTTTACATGCACAACTCATGTGTCCAGCGCATCCTCCGAATGCGTTTTGACGGCATCGTTCTTCCGCGCGGCAACGTCCCGCAGGACCTCCGGACGAACCTTTGATCCAACGGGCAACGGGAGACGGGATACGGGAGACGGGGGCGGCGCGAGTCACACTAGAGGGACCGCCTCTACAACGTTCCGCATCGAATGCTGATTAAGACTGCCAATATCTCTGTTCGGTCATGAAAATGTATTATTATTGGCCAGCGGGGTCGTAACGCGGCCTCCACTCTAGGTTCATGTCAAGACTGGGGTCGTGACTGTTGTGCAACTCGTTCGTGGAGTCAGTAAGCATCAGGCTCCAGACCCCTCATGCAATGGTGTAGGCGCATTCCGTTGCGTTTCCTTGAGTGCAGAATGTCATCTGCACCGGTTCCGACCTGACCCCGCGAGCAACCATTCGCTCTCTGAACTCGGCCAGCCTCGGTGCCGCATCGTACTGGCTTCTGTTCTGCCCCGAGGCATCCTGCCGGCCTGACCACAGAACCTCTCCAGCCGCGCTGGCCCTGGGCCATAGAATGCCGTCGATGCTGACGGAATCGATCGACTCGCTCCACGCTGCCACCTCACCACCGAGCACCAACTTGGCCTGCGCTTCCGTCAGGTTTGCTCTGGGATCGTGTGAGTAGGCAAGTCGCCATCCCTTTGCCGGCGTGCACCAGTCGTTGAATGGGTAGAACTGCTCGAAAGCTGCCCCGTTGTCAAAGTTCATCCAGTGGCCTCGCCCGCAGTCAAGATACTGTCAAGGTCAGTCATACGTCCTTCAGTTGGCACTAAGACGGAATGAAACTTACCCAGAGGTTGTAGTTGCTGTCAATCACCTTGTGGCCCTGGCTCGTGAGGTTCTTTACAGCATCATTTCCCAGCCATGACTGGATGACTACGTCGTCGCCCAGAGTGATGTTCCATTCAAGCGCCATCTCCTCCCAAACGAACGGAACGAGGCCGTGCTTGCGAATGCGGGCGTGATTCTTGTCCATGAACTTCTGCAAGAGCGGCTGCAGGATCTCGGTCGAGTTGGATTTGACACCGTCGTCCAGCATTGAATCATTCTTGTTCAACTCATCGCCCCCGGTATGGAAGTAGGCTGAGTACGGGCTTACTCTCGGCAGGAGATCGTCAAACAGCTTGTCCAGGAAATCATCCACACGGGAGTCGTTCATCTTGAAAGCGCCACAAGGCGGCTCCAAGCACCACCACTGGTACGGCTTCTCGTTGTAAGCCACGATGAGCTCCGGGTACGCAAAAGATACTGAGCCAATGTGTCCGGGCATGTCGATCTCGATGATGGGCTCGATTCCGCGGTGAACTGCGTACTCTTGAATCTTCGCCAGGTCCGCGGGGGTATATGAGAGACCCTTTTGGTAAGCACCTTTGGCTGACAGATCAGGCATCGCTGGGATGTCAAGTGGCCACGACTGTGAATCTGTGATGTGGATGTGAATGCGGTTGAGTTTGTTCCACGACATGGCGTCAATGACTCTCAAAACGTCCTCCACAGGATACCAGTTTCGGGCCACATCAATAAGAATTCCACGATGAGAGTAGACCGGTTCATCCTCAACGGAGATTGGCGCCAATGGAGTGTACCATGAAGTCCCGGAAGTGTGCTTGTAGAAAAGCTGCGAAAAGGTCTCGAGACCTCTGAGTACGCCGATCGAAGACTTGGCCTCGAGGGTAGCCGCGCCATCTTCCGTGATGTTGAGTGAGTACGACTCGTCGACCTCGCCGGCGAGAGGCTTGAATGCGCTCGCCTTGTCCTCGCCCGTTTGTGTGATCTTCAACGACGTAACCGCTTTCTTGTCCGCCGCATTGACATCGGGCTCGAATTGGCTATTCTTGGGGTGGAACTTCCATGGAACAAAGTTTTGCTGGAAAATTGCACCCATGGCCCGCGAAACGCCACCTTGGACAACGTCCTTGCTGTTGAAGGTCGAACCTGGGGCTGGGCTGTACCCGTAAGTGTAGGGAAGCTGCATGTTAAACAATTTCTCAGTATCCTGTGCTTTGTCATGGGAAGCAGAATTAGAACAAGGAAGCCAGCGTACAGATCCCCCATTGTATGTGATTTCCAGCGTTTGGCTGATGAACAGGGCATTCGAGCCGGTCGAGAGTTTCTTGGGTGCTGGCCAGACACTGGCGCTGACCTGGCTGAAGGCGAGAGATAAGGATACGAGGACGAGTGGGGGTAACATGATGGGCAGTGAGAATGAAGAGGGCGGGCAGTGGTGGATATTAACGACAGAAAGAACCCCGGATAATCCGTTTATTGACCACCAGACTCTGGGTCAGAGCTGGTGTTTATAAAAACCCGTTGCACGAAGCAAAACTTGGCCCAGACCCTTTGGAGGTACGCTTCTTAGCCACCCACACAGCAGGCTGCGTCTCGTGCAACCTTGAGCTGCAGTGACCAAGAACCAGACGAAAAAGAAGATGGTCTGCGCCTAGTAGCTGGACAGAAATGCAGGCTGAGGCAAGACTGGTGGTTGGGAGCAAAACCAGACGAGCGGTAGCGTACTGTGATAGGCCGATTGGGGTTCACGTCGCAACGTTACGTCAAAGTTCAAGGTCGACTCCGGTCCGCTCGACAACCAGCGCTACTGCTGATGACGGAGGGGCTGAGAGCTTTTGTACGAGATCCTCGAGGATGGGGCCAGTCTGACGGGTGCTGAAAAAAGAAAACCGACAGTTCCTAGCAGGCAGACCAGAGGGTCTTATATCAGGCAAGGGCTGCAATCTGCAGGGCCGGGTAGGACGAATGGTACGATGCAATATGTTGATCTATCCCAGCGTCCGGCCGTGGTGATCCAGGACAGCCGGCTGGGGCGTGATTCGTTGTTTCCTCCGATGTACAAGGGGCATGCCTTCATCAGACTTCGAGGGACAGGGCGAACTGCAAAATCATCGGCTGTGCGTGGACGCCAATGCCACGCCAGGGACTGACCGGTGGAGCAGAAAGCCGAAAAGTGCGAACTGCGGTCTGCGGGCTGGCGGTGGCCGGCGTTGGTTGATGTTCTGCAGGTGCGGAGATGTCAAAGAGCGTGTTTATTTAGTTGCATAGGCTAATCAAAAAGACACGATAAGTGATGAGCAACTAGAGACAATGTGGTAGATAACAGAAAGTAGAGACGGCGGCCTGAGCTCTGGCGTTGGCGGCTTGGTACATGGAGCAGGACTATTGTGAGCAGCCATTGGGATCTTCATCCCATCTCGAAGGGGCGATGCAGGACGACAAGACAGGCAGAGAGGGGAAGAGCAAGGGAGCACCCACGCACCTCCCTCAGCAGTGAGGAGAAGAGAAGGCGGTGTTGGAAAATGGCAGCCAACCAAGAAACCAAGAAACCAACGGGCAAAAGCGCAGCCAGCCGGCGTGGCGGCAGGGGGCGGGGAAACGGCACTACCGCTAGGGGGGCCAATCCAACTCTAATTGCCGGCCAATAAGTAGAAGGCCCGACGTGCAGGAGCTTCCTCCCGGCTCTGAAGAGAGGCAGAGGCAGAGGCAGATGCGGTCATGCATGAGGTGAGGTGAGGTGAGAGTGAAGAGCGACAGACTCGCTTTCGCACCGCTCTCCGACAGTAGTTCTTCGGCACGGTGCTGAAGCTTCCCTCCTCGAAATAAACACTGCAGGCAATGCAATGCAGGCACGCGAATCAGTTCGACGGCGAGGATAAAGTCCGACATTGGTGCTGGGCATTGTGGTCATTCGACACTTCGCAGCAACCATCCAAGAACTCATGATGGGCGGCCAAGCAAGAGGGTGACAGCCTGCATACAGGCATCGAGGATCTGCAACGTAAGACTCTTATCTCTCCTGATAGGTCAGCCTCAACAGTCTGCGCGAGTGTCGTCAGTGTATCCGCAAGATGGCCCTATCTATTTTGCCAGCCAGAGTTGGGACCTCAGCTGCAGCAGGTCTCATCCAGTGCCTGCACTGTAACATTTCATTGACAACGGGGAGGGTTGGCTTCTAGTTCGAGACGCTGGCCAACAATAGCTACAGTTGCTGAACAGGTGAGCTCGAAACTGACACCAGGTAAGACAAAAGACATCTAGACGCAGGTCGCAATTCGGGGCCTCAGGAAATAGCTAGAACGTGCCGACAAAGCATTTCGTGTTCGAAGGTTTTCGCCTGCAGGTCCCAAACACACCGCATATGGATTTGTCCACACCGTAATTACAGTGGTCCCTAGCCCACGCAGAGAAAGGCCCTTCTTTGAGCCCTTAAAACCGCAACTTTCTTGAGTTCCCTGAGGCTGAAAACGGGTCTGTTGAAGCCTGGGAGACCAAGTCTTTGCTTTGAAGAAGGATTTGTGGCTTTGTATGAGAGTCGAGGAACATGCGAGAATGTGGTTGAGCAAAGTGTCATTGCTTGGGAGACTGGCTGAGTGATTCATTCGATGCTTACCTGAGGTACCAGAGGTAGGTACCTGCCTGTGCCTGCCTACGGATACCTCTGGAGCGAACCGTTGGGCTGATTAATGGGAAGTGGATCGCCACTTCACTCCCAGACCTCCGTCACCGCCAAAGGTGATTTATGAGTCACGTGCCTTGTTCTTCGGGTCTGTGCTCCTAACCAGTCAACCGCGAAAAACCTGGACTCTGACTTTGGAGCACCAGTTCACTACCTATCTACAATCATCCATTCTTTTGTTGCGCCCAAAACCCTGCAACAACCTCAACACCTCTGCGGATTGCCGGCCTCTTATATACCCTTACCTCGGGCCTCAAGTTGCACTCGCGATCCCATCGTCCCTGCACCGAACTACCGCCTGGCGCTTCGTTGACGATTCCTCCTGCTTGCCAACAACGCGTCTCTTGCCCTCTCTCGGCAGTCGCCCTTCAGGTTCCCACATCCCAAACCGCGATCGCATTCGAATCTCAACGCGACCCACGCCTCGTCGGCGATTTTCCAAAATGACGGTACAAGTCGTCCTCAACACCCCGCTGGCTGATGCGCTGAGCGCCGCCATCCAACCGAAGCTTGTCGAGGCTGGTTGGGCTTCCGACGACGCTGCGCTGGCCGAGTACATTATCCTCATGCTCGTCAACGGTCGCACGCAGGAGCAGATTGCTCACGAACTCGCGACCGATCTCCTTGGCCTCGATCCCGATGATCCCGCCTGCACCGATTTTGCGAGATGGCTATTTCAACAAGCAGAGTCACTTGACGCACAGCTGAATGGCAACCACACACAACAGGGTGGCGATGCCATGGCTGGCATGGGCGACCAGAATGTCGCGTCCGGCGAGATGGATACCGACATGGGCGCAGGCGATGCTAATGAATTTAACGCGTATGCCTCCCGTTCCCGTCAATTTACCCGACTCCCGTCATTAACAAGATGCAGTCCTACTGGTCCCCGCTCAATGCGCAACGGCCCCAACGCCCGTGGAGGCGGACGCGAAAAGCGTATGCTTGGTCACATGTCAAAGGCCATGGACAGATCAACCGACTCAGTTCTCCACCGGACCCGCGGCAACGACAGAATCAACTCCCATGCTCGTGGCCCCCCTACGGGACCGCGAGGCGGCATGGGACGAGGTGGCCGGAACATGAACGGACGCGGGGTAAACATCCAGGCTGGTCTGAACGCGATGGCGGGAATGAACGGCCAGCAAGTACCACCGGGCATGAATGGCATGAACGGTGCCTGGGGAATGCCTCCTGGTATGCCCGGACAGCAGCCTACCCAGATGGATCTCATGGCGATGATGGAGCAACAAGCACAGATGATGAGCCAGCTTCAACAACAACTCATGAACCAGTCTGGCGGCCGTGGCGGACGTCGTGATCGTGGCGGAAAGTCCCTGTTCGACCGGACCCAGAATCGCAACAACTTCAGGAACCGTCAAGGCAACGATAAGTCAGAGTCGGGAATGGCAGAGGGAGGGGCCGAGGGTGAGGATGTGGAAATGGGACAATCGAAACGCGAGCCGCTCAACCCGGATGAGACGGTGTGCAAGTACAACCTTCACTGCACCAACAGGGAGTGCAAATTCGCACACCAGTCTCCTGCGGCGCCACCTGGTACCACTGTCGACCTTAATGATGTCTGCACCTTTGGCGCTGCATGCAAGAACCGCAAGTGTGTCGGTCGCCATCCTTCACCCGCCACGAAACTTGCGCACCAGGGCGAGCAAGACTGCAAATTCTTCCCCAACTGCACAAACCCAAGGTGTCCTTTCAGGCATCCCGACATGCCTCTCTGCCGAAATGGCGCCGGCTGCACCACTGCGGGTTGCAAATTTACACATGTTAAGATCAAGTGTCGATTCAACCCTTGCAAGAACCCTCACTGCGTCTACACCCACGACGAAGGACAACAAGGGGTCTTCAAGGACAAGGTCTGGACCGCGGAGGGCAACAGCCATGTCAGCGACCGTCAGTTCGTAGATGGCCAGGCTGAGACTGAGGTGATACTTCCCGAATCAGAGAACGCCGTCGGCCAAGAGCAAGGCAACGTTCAGGAGGTCATCAGTTAGAGGCTGTGCGAGGAGAGCCGATTCCGTGGTCCGGAACAGTGGGTAGGATGATTCGAAGCGGGTGGAAGGGAGAGGTCAGTCCCTCGAGACTGGCAAAGCGGGTATCTACAAAATGAGGCCTTGGCTGGCCCGGAAAGGAGCAGCGACTTCTTGTATGATAATTGGACGATGATGTATGGCCAAAGCGGCAGGGCACAATCGGCAATCGGCGTTGCGGGTGCGATTATTCACATGTTCGTGTATAGAGATGGCTTTGGGCAAGCCAAATTACGTTCCAGCGGCCACCAAAATTGTGGTTGCTAGCAGCGGTGGGGCAAGTAATGCATTCGTTATGAGGCCTCACGGTCAGTCTTGAAATGCTTCGTGTGTTGTGTCCATGTCAACGGAGTTCTCTCCGATGTACAGACCTCCTGTTCTTTCGGGTCTCGGGCGGGGCTTCATCTAGCTTTTGCCGTGGACCAACTATTATGGCTGTGCATTTGCGTAGCGACTTCATTTCCTTTGGCCTCGTTTGTATCTTTACTGTACTCGTCCTTTTCGCCTCTACTGGCGATTTCCGCCGCCATATCTAACTATTGTGTCACTCTAAGCGCTAAGTGCCTAATACTTTGAACAGAGGAAATATAGTCTCGTAAACATAAGAAAGGTAGACGGCGCCCTTCAATGAGATCGACAAAACTATAGAATATCCAATCAAGAAACTGACAGGATGCTGGAATCCATTCGTAAGGTGATGTTAAGTGGCGGGTCCATGGAGCCCCTGGAGCTTCCCGGTCCCTAGCTCCGGAGCTGTGCGGTTAGCTGCAAGACCCCTGCCAAAATACTTTCTGTGTCGTGACGCCACTTTGTAACCAACAGTTTCCTCCCGCCAGCACTTTTTGTCTTTCCCTCTCTCATTTATCCGAGCCATTGCCCCCCTCAATGGTCTCCAGAAGAGCCGATAATGCTTTCATGGCTCTGTTAAGATCTTACCATTCGCAGCGCTTCTGCCGAGCGGCGCTCAGCGCCCGCAATGGCATCGCAAGGCCCCCGCGATTCTCGACGAGTGCTCTCCTCTCCGCTGCAAAGCCGGCCGACGCAAAGACGAAGGAGCAAAATACGCCCGCGTATGACGCCCGAAAAGATGTTCGCAAGAGAATGGGTGTCCCGAAGGACGTTGCCATCATCGGCTCTGGAATCACCGGCCTGACGACGGCACATTACCTCGCGAAATGGCTCCCGGAGACATCCCGCATCACCATCTACGACGCGGCGAACCGCACCGGCGGATGGATCAATACACAAACGGTCGACGTCAACGTGGACGGAATCGGGGGCAAGGTGCGCTTCGAGCGTGGCCCGAGAACGCTGCGTGGTATGGGAAGGGACATATGGAAGTTCGACGATCTCGTGTTCTGGGACCTCGTTTGTCACCCTTGCCCTGAGAAGTTGTCGCCAGCGCTGACCATGGCATGAAGCTTAGAGACCTAGAAATGGTTGAGGAATACCGTTCGAAGCCGCCGCTCAGTCGCTACATCTACTACGACGAACGACTGGTCAGCATGAGTCTGCAGGGCTACTGGAACGAGCCAATCTATAACAGTGTCTTTAGCGGCGCCTTCCCAGGCTTTATCGCCGCCATCAAACGACGTCTGAAGGCCCGCAAGGAACCACACCCTTCCGATATGTCTGTCGCCGAATTCGTTAAATTCGCCACGGGCAAGCCGCAGCTGGTGGACAACTTGGTATCAGCCATGATCCACGGCATATGGGGTGGCGACGCTGACAAGATCAGCATGCGCAGCTTCATGCCTGCCCAGTGGTGGAAGTTTTTCTACGAGCCCTCCAAAACCAGTTCGGACGAAAATGATCGTGAAAACCACAACCGCGTGTTGATGCCTCGCCAAGAGATGCATATTTTGCATACATTAGGTGCAGATGAACAGTTGAGGTACTTCGTCGATTACACAAAGAAAGACGCTTTTGTGTATTTCAAGGACGGCTTGAGTAGCTTGCCAGATACGATCGAGAAAAAGCTTAGGTCCAGGAGCAACGTCACTTTCAAGTTGGGCGAGCCGGTCGTTGACCTTCGGTATAATGAAAGGCGTGACAAGGCTGCAGTAAGTGCCTCATCATCCCGACGAACTCCCGCAACAAACCCTCTGACACAGCCAGATCCTTACCAAGAAGTCTGGGGACTTTGCCTTCTACGACAAGGTCATTTCCACGACGACAAGCAACACCCTCTACAACATGACTTCCGGCGCGCTGCCCTCCCTTAAAGACTCGCCAAACGTCTCCATCATGGCCGTGAACCTGTGGTACCCCCAGCCAAGGCTGAACAAAAAACATCGCGGCGTTGGGTACCTGGTCCCCCGCTCCGAGGAAAACAACCCCGAAGGCGTCCTCGGCGTCTTCTTCGACTCGGACGTTCTCGATGCGGCCCCGGCCCCAGGCGAACCCGAAGGCACCAAGCTCTTCGTCCTCCTGGGCGGCCACTACTGGAACGACAAGGCCCCTCCGACGACGCAAGAGGGCATCGAGATGGCCAAGTCCGTCCTCGAACGCCAGCTCGGCATCCCCGCCTCCACGCCCTGCTTCGCCATGGCGCACTTCGCAAAGGACTGCATCCCGCAGCACCACGTCGGTCACTGGCAGCGCATGGACCGCGCGAGCAGCGAGATCGAGTATGCCTTCAACCGCCGCGTCGCCGTCGCCGGCGGCTCGTACGGCCCCATCGGCGTTATGGGCGGCATGCGCGCCGGCTATGATTTGGCGTCGCACATTGCGCGCGTGTCCCTGGACCACGTGGGCGAGACGGGCCTGGGAGCGTACCAGGAACGCAAGCCTGAATTCTTCCTCTTCCACCGGGAGATGCTGCACAGGATCGGTCGCAATATTGCACGCGAAGCTTCGTGGTTTTACAGACAGTTTGGATAGAACCCCCTGTATGCGCATACATAATCTAGTAAGCAGTATTTTGTACTTTAAACAAGGCACTCCCGTCCTTGGGCGTGGCGTTCGACCTGTCCGTAGCTACGGACGTCAGGAGCATCACACCTGGTTGTAAATTATCTTGATAGATTTGGATCAATGGTGGCATGTGTACGTCAAAGTCAATAAGTTTACAAATTTTATTGGAGGTATCGATGCGACCGTCTATTTCGGTCGAGTCCGGCCGGCGTGCTACTCTTGAGGGCACGATAAACCGCTGAATGCCATCACCTTTGCTATCCACGTTGCGTATACCCCAAGCCCCTTGGTATCACGATATGAATGGATGATGACTCTTGAAGAAAAAGAAGTAAGAAAGAAGAAGAAAAGGTATTTGAGACAGCAACCATGACACAGCAAACCCGTGCTGGCGTCCCGTCTTAGTCGAGTACCAACGGCGCTTGCTTACTACCTGAGGTCCTGTTGCTCCCCTGACTGACGCTTGTAGGCTGCGTGCCGAAAGATTGGTTTGCCGAAAAGGTCTGGCTGAATTGGGTCGCGGCGCCATCCGATGATGGTGGCCCATTGCCGCCGGTCGCGGCGTGGGTACGGACTGCGTCGTCAAGTTTTGTAAGCAGATCCATGATGCTCGGCCCAGGCCTGGATGCCGCCGCGGTGGTGAGCCCCCGCCAACCATCGCCGTGGGACTCCCAGATGCCCTTGAGAAGTTTGTTAAACTCCTCGTCGGGACCGAAAGACTCGCCTCCTGTCACCCGCTGAACGTGGAACCACGACTCGTGGCGTCTTATCTTGCTTCTTACGTCAACGGAGAGCACCCGCGACTGCCCTGAAGGGCTTGTAAGTGTGTAGCGGATGGCAACCCAGTCAACGGCTCTTGGGAACACCTCGACGCGGCCTTGATTTGTAGATTCGAGAGCCTCCCACTTGGACTCGATGCTCTCAACCGTTTTCAGCACCGGTAACATTAACGGCATGTAGATAATGAGGGCTTTAAGCCCAGCCTGGGTGTTGACCATCGTTGTGAACAAGTCCAGCATTCGCAAATGCGGATTGCCCCTTTCTAAAGATATCCGGATATCGCTCCGGGCTAGGTCAAGAGTTGCCCGCCAACGGCGAGGCTTTGCTGTCGCATCGCTCTCTCCCGGCATTGCGACATCGCCGTATGTGAAGATGACTTGGCGAAGACTCATTCTCTCGCATTTGAGAGAACCTCTTGCCTTGCTAATGGCTTCGAGGAAGCCAACGAGCCGGTCTATGGATTTGACGTGGCTTGTGAGAATGTCGAGGATAGGGTGTCCGACCGTCTGTCGAATGCGGAAGATAAATTCGCCCTTTCGAGGGCTGAAAGACACGTCCCGATCAATCCGCCCCTTAAGCAGCGTGAACTTAGACCTGTCTTTCACCCTGATTATCGCGTCCACTACGGTGTTGATCTTGCAGTTGTCAATCACATCCACCGGTGAGGCACCCTTGCCATCTTTCCCGAGAGCCGCAGGAACCTGAGGTTGAAGCCCCTTGAACTTGATCTCGACATGGTTCTGGGCCCATGAGGGAGCGTATTTGTCCGATTCATCCGATGCATCGTTGGCGCCGGAATGCCCACCAAGATGGCTGTGGCGTAGAATTTGTGACAGCTTGAGAAGAATTGATGGCATACGGACTTGTTGAGGCAAAGAATAGTTGGTCGACTCCCTCATCACATACTTGATCCTATTAGTATGCAAGTTTTGCAAATCGGTGACGTGGCTAATCGTGCCAGTAACGAAGGTGGTCAGGTTGCTCCAGAATGAGTCGTCCAAGTCGGGTTGTCCATGGTTTAGTCGCAGTCGACAAGAAAACTTGATCGGGCGTGCTGGCGTGTTGCGGTCGCTATTCGAGTTAGCGTTTCACACTTCAAGTACGCGGCGGATCAGACTTACATTTGTATCAACCACCACTCATCACCAGCAAGGCTCAAAGAGGCCATGACGTGCCAGTCCTCGTCCAAACTTTGACGCTGCAAAAAGACTGTCTGGAATGCCTCCCTGGTCCGAATAAGTTGCTTGATATCTTCGTTTGAGAGTGGACTCTTGCAGGTCTTCCATCCAACGCTTCGCCCCCGGCGGTTGAACTCTTCCATGACGTAACCCCACCTGATGCTTTCGAGACAGACCACACCATCTTCTGCTGGATCCTTTTGGCCGTAGTTAAGCCGCGTCTCACCACTGAGTGTGTATTTGGTGTGAGGTTGAATTGCCGCGAAGCCAGTTACTGGTTCTACGACCAAGATAACATTTTCTCGTGGACTCAGTTGCATGCTCAAGAACGATTCCACCGGCTCCCTCTTCGAGACCTTCAATGTCATCGATGATTCCCGGTTCGCGAAACGAGGGTATGACAGCAACTTGGAGTGAATCGATGAGAGAATATGCTCCACGTGCCTGGCGACCGCCGTCTTGAGCAGATCTTCTGCACAGAGGGTGTCGACATCAAACGGTAATAGAACGTCTTTGACCTCTTTGTTGTCCCGGTACCACCGCGCAACTAATCGACTCGACTGTTTCGGATCTAATTGGCCGTTTGTTTTCTTCGCACTGTTGACGGCTACCATGACCCAGCTCTTGGGCCCGTTTGGTCCGTATCTTGTGGTCCAGTACTGCAGGGCCAAAGCTCGGTTCAGGGGTTCCACCATCAAGGTTCCTGTCCACGTGCTTCGGCTCAGTTCGAGTGCCTGTCGCTTGAGCTCATTGATCTTGTGCGTGAGGACGAATTCGTGCAGGAACCTGTAGCAGCCTTCTAAACCGTCCTTGCCAAGGATCTCGTTGACTTGGCCTTCCAGGAATGATACCAGCCCATCAGACAGCTTTTTCGCAGACGGAGAGAAGGCGAACCGAAAGTCGATGAACCAGAATTGCTTGGTGAAGTCCTCATCGGCAATGGTCAAATCTACCTCAAATTCGCCTTTAACCTTGAAAGTCACTCTGCCGGAGTGTATGCTGTAGGTCTTGAACTGATGCGGAATCTTCTCATAGTCATCCAGATTCAGGCGTAAAGAAAGCATGGTGTTCAGATCATCAATCCACTTCAACTGCTCCTCCGGTGTGAGAGGCGGCGGAGGTATGTACCCAGGCTACAAGTTGATGTCAGTGGGAGTACTCGCGTTTATAGTGGAAAGCTTACCTCTGGGACCCACGATGCCTCGCCGGTAGTGAGGACTTGTAAAGCGGTCTTCAAATCAGGATTTGGTAGTCTCGCGCCGTTGAGCCCTCTCTTGAGATCGATGAGCAGGTCTTGTGCATAGTCGTACAGCATCCTCTTAGAATCGATATGCGCCTTGATATCAATGAGCTTGCTGACAGCCTCTGCGTTCCTGCTCCAGTCCGTTATGACAAGAGCCTTGACCCATTTAGCGTGCGCATCTTGCGCAAACTTGAGCATCAACATCTTCTTTCGTTTGTTTCCTTCCGACATGTCGTCCGGTGCTTCGTTGCCGTGGGGTGTGTTTCCGTTGACCGCCGGCGGTGCCCATTTTACGGCCGCCATCTCCATGATAACTTTCTGCAGGTCTTCGTGGGTTCGTTGCGCGAGTCGGGAAACAATCATAGACAGCGGTATGTACCCCTGGGTGATGTGCACGATCTCTTCGGGAAGGTCGTTCATTCTCGATTTTGGCTGCAAAGTTAGACCGGTGTTCATCTGCGATTGCTGCTTGCCTGAGTCGGCTGGCACCCCGTTCGCCAAATTGCTAGAGGCGTCGACGGGCGCCTTGCCCTTGTTCGGCGAGGGCTGACCGTCCATCGTTGTACCGTTGATGCCGTTCATTTTCAGATTCCTATCGTGGTTCGAATGTGTTCCATTCTGCCCTCCATTCTCCATGTTGACAACACCAGGCATCGGGGGAAGGCCTTTCCCTACGTCGCTGGCTGCCTCACGACCGTCCCCCCGAGAGTGGGATGCAGGACGCTTCGTGAACAACGTAGAATAACTTTGGTTCCGGTGGGCAGGTCGCCGCGAACAAGCGACCAAGTGACGTGAAAGACTGATCCCTATCCACGGTGACTGTGAGATGGGACTCAATCATCGGCGCCAGATGCGCAAACAAGCAGCGTGGCGCAATCGCATCAACGAAGGGCACAGGTTCAGTAACCACGACGCGCTTCGAAAGGGAGTTCGATAGGAGACGGAAAGATCGATTCCGTAGAGGCAGGGGTGGTGTCGTGGAAACGCGATGAGGCAGCGTGATCTGGGGGGGAAAGTCCCGGCAGCAATCGACGATCGGGGAGTCGCGGTTTCGGCGTCGCAGTGATGCTTGTGCGGAAGGCTGCGATCAATTCATGGGTCGGATTTCGATGTGTGCGGATGTCGCAAAGCCGTGGTTGTCGGGTGCGCCGAGGAAACCGGCACTTGGTGATCGGCCGGCGGACAAATGGTGAGGGTGGTGCTGCGATGGAAGGAGCGTGCAACCAGCCAGAACAGCAAGGCAGGAGGTCTAGGTGCAGCCGAGCCTTGCTCTTTTTTCTCAGGCAACGCCGACCTGGCCTGGCCCTGGCCAACCAGCCGACCTATGGTCCTTCCCTTTGCCTTACCTTATGTAACGTAGGACCTGACTCAGCAGTCTCCATATCGGGTACGTACCGGCTTTCTCTTTAATCTAGTGGTACCCTTCAAGAGCAAGCTTCCTAGTCTCAGTCTTCGACTCTATTTCCCAGCATGCCACGGGCCACGACCTCATGCGGCCAGCCGTCGCCATGAGCGAAGCGTCAAGAGACGACATGACCGATGCCTTCGACTAGATTCTGTACAATGGGTCGGAGGGTACGTGGACTGGCAACGCCGGATGCATATGCTGCAGAAACCGGCTAAGTTCGTCGAGCTGCCCCAAATAATGACGTTTCTGTTAGCGTTTGGAAGCCCCAATGACTCGCTGGTCTTCCAAACTGGAGCTTCCTTCTCATTGCCCGAGGCGTCAAGTCAAGGAATCACACTGCTATTCGGCGCATTCCTCC